TTATGATAAAGCATTAGAACAGGCTCATAATTGATAATGGAGTCTATCAAATGGAATAAAAAGAATTTAAATTAATATAGAATTTAAACTTCACTGACGCTGTAAGTGCTTTAGTACTATCAGACAACCTAGTCTTATTCGGGCACTCGTAGTACTTCAAATTGAGTCTCCACAAGTGGGATAATGATAAGTAAAAGTACACACTATTGCAGGAAAGAGACTTGGCTAGGATAGCATCTTACAAGAATCAAATGATCAGATAAATGCAGCATAATAAATACCCCCTAGAAGCAGGAACATCTATATATTGTACAGCTGGTGAAGGGTACAGCTTGCAAAGATTACAACTAAATATGACTGATTTAATACTATCGCAAAAGGTCAAAGTGCTCTCATCTAAAGGCTACACAAAGCTACTGGAATATAGATAACTAGACATGAAAAACCTTTTAATCTACTATGCCAGTCACTTTATGATTATAGACCCGGTGTAGTTGCAAATAAAGAAGCAGTATAGGTATGAGTATCCCAGTATTTAAGAGAGCTTATTGATTTCTCCTAAATTTGACTCAAGTGTGTTCCCCATAATCGTATTAAAAAATAAAACAGTAGATATCGCTAGCAAAGCTAGATTTGATGTTATAGATTTATTTCAGACTGGCTATCGAGGAAGTCTCATTACAGATCTTGACTTCAATGATATTCATATACTTGGCTAGATTAACAAAGGAGATTGCTATTCCGAGTATGGCTAAGATATTGTATTCTTAGTAAATTTCAAAAGCTAAAAAGACTAGGTTAAGCTTATGAGACTTGTAATAGATTGAAATATCGATTGAACAGTATTTAGAGAGTTATTTGAAAGAATGTTCTTCTTTGATGACGAAATCTAATGTGCTCAAGAAAGTATTAGAAACAGTAGAGAGGACTTTGAAGACTTACTCAGACAAATTAGAACTGTTTTGCAAAAAGTAAGTGGAAAAATTAGAGTAAAAGGTTGTTAAGCAGCAACAGCAGGTATATCAGTCAATTAAACAGGAGCACAACTCTTAAAGTATAGAGGACTATGTTAGATCAAACTCAGAGCAGGTTCGCTCTCATCTGGTGAATATTGATACAATATCTATTTACCTTGAAAACGTCATGAAACTCGAAAAGTAGATGATAATATAAATTGAACCTAATGAATTTCAAATCGAATAACACACTTCATTTTAGTCATCTGCGCATTACAATAATATTATATCCTCAGTCAGTGATGATATCATAGCATTAACCAATAATACCTAATCTTCAACCTCACTTTATCAGTTAAGCTCTGAATCAGCTTAGCAATAGGATATCGTGTATCTTGGAGAGATAGATAAGCAATGCACTTTTCTCTTCAAGCATTATGATAATGTCATCTGCAATGATAATGTCTACAAAATACTAGTGTTTAAGAACTACTATGGAAATGAATCCAAAATATAGCTCAAGCAGTTTTAGACTTTAACTAAAAGCGGGGAAATAACTGGAGGTATTGCCTTGGACGACAGATAAATCCTACTTGGCCATATGGGGTACTTCATGATTTCTCTATGGCAATATAATTAGAATTACATATAGGTAGGCAGATTCAAATTCTACTCCACAGTGTTTTATCAAATGCAGCCATTGACCAATTTCAATCATGATCCTAAGTCTTAGTTCTGCGTATATGTGTTATTAAACAATAACAGCTTGTAGCATGTAGATATAAACACAGGTGATATTCGCAAATCTCTTAGACACAGTGTTTATAAACAATAAAATCAAAACTGCCTTGATTACTATGTTTCTCTTGAAAAGATTTTTGTATTATATACTAACTAGATGGTCATTTTAAAGGATCAAAAGATGATTAACAGAGTTGGTTTGGCTCACCCTCTTGATAAACTTTTGATAATGAATGATAAGTTTTCATTAGTACTACTAAGATAAAAGCAAAGTGATATGATTAAAATATATGATGAAGAAACTGACCAAGTCTCCAAAGAGCTGTAGATACCAGGAATTGAAACTTTAATCATTTTT